TTAATTATAAAAAAAATTATTAATTTAATTTTTAAAATAGATTATATAAAGAGCTATGTGAACTAGGCTATTTTAATGATGAAAGAGATATTGTATTGACAGGTTCTTGCGACGGATACCAAATTTTCAAACAGAAAACTGATGATTGCTAAATTATTTTAATAATTAACAATAATTTGAATCCTTGTATTCGAGTTAAAAGACATAATTTATTATTATCAATGATTATTCTAGGACCTAAATCTCCTAAAGATTTTAATACTTTTTTGTATCCTTTAATTACTGAACTTAAGGAATTAGAAGGTTAGCAATTTAATTTATATTTTATTTTTTAAAGAAATAATTTTAAAATTTTTTTTTTTTTATTAAAGCAGGTGTAATATGTTATGATGGATTAAAGAATGAGGAATTTTTATTAAAAGTCTATCTACTTCTTTGGACTGGAGATATACCAGCAATAAGCAAATCACTTAATCTTACAGGACATAATTCTTATAAAGGCTGTCATTTTTGTAATTTAAAAGGAACTTGTCATATTCATAATAACCATATATATTATCCTTTAAATACTTCTCATATAGACCATTCTTATTTTCCTTCTTTAAGAAATCATAATGAAACAATCGAAATAATGAAACAATAGATTCTATTGATAATAAATATAAAAAAGAACAGTTAATTAAAAATTATGGTAAGTATAAATTTTTATAATTAATATATTAAAAATATTTTTAAAAATCTTTAATATTTAAATAAATTTATACATTAATTAGGAATAAAAGGAACTAGCAAACTTCTTGAGATAAAAGCATTAAAATTTCCTTGGTCTTTTCCTATTGATATAATGCATTTTTTTTTCAAAAATATTGCACCTTTAATGTTTGCTTATTGGTCACAAAAATTTTTTAAAAATAATTCTGAAGATTCAAATATATATAAAATAAATAATAGTATATGGGAAGAAATTGGAAATAAAATGAAAGAAATTTCAAAAAATATGCCTTTAGATATAGGTAGATTACCTCAAAATATATATAAACACTATGTAGGCTTTAAAGCAGTTGAATGGCGAAATTGGATAACACTTTTTTCTTTACCTTTATTAAATGGAAAATTAGATAAAAGGTAATATTAAAATATTATTATTTATTTATTTATTTTAAATTTATCTAATTAACCTTTACTTTATTAGATATTTATTAAGATGGAATAAATTTGTAAAAGCTGTAGAATTATGTTTACAGTATATTTATATTAATAATGATTTAAATGAAATTTCAGATTTATTAAATGAGTTTTATTTTCATTATGAAAAGTAAATATTTTTTTAAATTTATTTTTAATATAATTTTTAATAAATAAAAAAATACTAATTTTTTAATTTTTATTTAGTTTATATTATAAATATATACCAGAAAGACTTTCAGCTTGTCAAATTTCTTTACATTATATATTACATGTTGTGGAATGTATTAAATACTGTGGACCTTACTGGGTATTTTGGCAATTTCCTATAGAACAATTATGTAGAACATTATTTCCTCTTGTTAATTCTCGTCTCAATCCTTATATAAACTTATGTAATAATGTTACTTTTTTAGAAAGGTTTAATCATCTTTATTTTATTTCTTCTTTTAAAAATAAGTTAAATAATCAACAAGTAAAAAATTGGAAAGAAAATATGGTATTTAGTAATAAAAATTATGAAGAAAAATTTTATTGGCCTACACAAAAATATACTTTAAGTCAAAGTGAATTTCAAAAATTAAAAATATATTACAGTAGTTTAAATTTAAATATTACAAATAATATGGTAATTTTAAGAAACTTTAATTGCAAATATTATTTATTTATTTAATTATTAATTTTATTATAATATTTTTAGATATCTAATATTAGAATTAAATATGGACATTTAAGGACCGCTGATGGACATATAATTAGTAGTGAATAGATACAAAGAAAAATAAAAAAGCTCGTGATAATTATACTATAGCTGTAAGCATTTATAAATTTTTATTTTATTATATTAATTTATATAAAATACTAATTATTTATTATAATAGGTAAGAAGAACTATTGATCGTTTAGTTCACCGAAAAAATGCTATACCAGAACTATTGTATATAGATATTTTTGGAGAAATTAAGTATTTTTTATTACATAAATATAGCCTTCAAGAATTTTTATTAACATATATACAAATAACTTCTCCTACTAAAACAAATGTTTTAGATAATATTACATTTACAAGAAAGAGTGCTTATGAATTTATAGATGTTAATACAGTAGATAGGTGTGTTGGTTTTATTAAAATTGGAAATATTTATTATATAATAGATCCAAAATATAATAAGCAAAATAATGATTAATATTATATTTTATTAAAATAAAATTTTAAGACTTGTATCAATCATATTGTTTAAAAATTAACCAATAAAAATACATTAAAGTTGTAAGATCATCATATATAAATAAAATACTTTAAAATTTTTGTGACGCGTTTATTTTTTATGTTTTACAAAAAAAGTCGCTATGCAAAACCCTCATATTAACATGACTACTTCTGGACTTTCATTAGATGATATAGTTCATGTAACAAATTTATTAAACAATAATAATAGTATTCAAAATGTAGTAAATACAGGAAAAACTACTTCTTCTTTTCAAGCTAATATAAATTTTTATAATTATCTTCGGAGGTAAGTTTAGATAAAAACCTTTACAAGAAAGTTTATAAAATTTAAATAAATATTTCATTTTTAAAAAGATTACTATACTACCTATACAAAAACCTCAAGGTTATTTTAATTTACAAGTAGTTTTAGGATTAAATGATCAAAAACAAAGATGGAATACATATCTTATAAGTAATAAAATAAATTATAAATTTAATTATATACTAATTTTAGCTTATATATTTATTTTTAATAGTCTTCTCTTCGTATAATTATTGAAGCTCATTCAAATTATGATCCTCAAAAAAGTTACAATAAACAAAAAAATATTATGCTGCCAATTATTAAAGCTGTATATATAATTTTAATTTAATTCTTTTAATTTAATAATATTAATAATTGTATTTTTATATTTTTAATAGTTTAAAAAGAGCTGCAATAACTTTTCTCTAACAACTGGTGATTGGGCAATTAAACAAATGGTTATAAATTTTATACAACGAAGTCGTAAGTTTAAAATATTCTAAATTTTGTAAATTATAACTATTTTTTATTAATATTTTATTATTAGGATCTAATGAATTAAGAATAACGAAACATTCTAAAAAAATTAATGAAAATGGTTTATGTTTTTTATTATTTATTAAAAAAAAAATATATAATATATTTTTTAATAAAAAATAATTATACTTACTTAAAAATTTTTCAAATTAATTAAAGATTTCCAAACTGATTATAATAAAGAAAATTCTCAACTAAATTTCTGATCTAATTCCCAATCTGGTTTCCAATCTAATTCTCAACTAAATTTCCAATCTGATACTCAATCTAGTTTTCAACCTCATTCTCAATCTAATTCCTGATCTAATTCTCTATCTAATTCTCGATCTAATTCTTGATCTAATTCTCAATCTAATTCTAAATCTAATTCTTGATCTAATTCTCAATCTAATTCTAAATCTAATTCTCAACCTAATTCTCAACCTAATTTTCAATCTGGTTCTCAATCTAATTTCCAGTCTAATTCTCAACATAATTCTCAAATTAATTTCCAATCCAATAATTTACAACTTGGTCATATTGTTGATGATTTATAACTTAATTTTGATGATGAACTTAACTGTGATGATGAACTTAACCATAATGATAATTTTGATAATTTACAACTTAATCGTGATGATGAATTGGATCATGATGTTAATAATTTACAACTTAATCGTAATGATAATATTTCTCAATTGGTAAATAATAGAAAATCAAAAAAAATAAACCAAATTATAAAGATATATAAAATATTTTTTAAATTAATTGTTTAATTAAAATTATTTACTTATTTTATTTTAATTAGTTATTAACTAATAAAACTTATATTTTTATATTTTTTTAGGTTTAAATAATGATGAAAATAATAATGAAAATATTAATGAATTTTTTGAACAAAGAAGGTCACAAAAAAAATTATCTAGTTCAAGTTCTTTAAACTGAAATCATAAATGAAATAATTTTAAGAATTCTGAACTTATGGCAATTCAAAATAAACAAAAATAACAAATTAATACTTAATAATATAGAATTTTATTTTTTTGATTAATGGTTATGTTAGCTATATAATTTTTTTGATTTATTAATCATTAGTTTAATTTTTATTTTAATAAAATTATAATATATAAAATAAATTTAAATATATCATTTCATATTAAATTTATATGTATTTTATATATATATATATAAAAGATTTATGTAAAATATTTGTTAATTTGTGTAAAACATATGTAAAAATTTTAATAATTTATATGTAATTTATATGTAATTAATTCCTTTAATTTAACTTATGATAAAATAACATATATATTATATATTATTTAAAAATAAAATAAAAATAAAATAAATATATTTGCTATATATATATATACAGTATATATAATATATGTAAATAACTTTTTTATAAAATGTATTTTATTTTTAAAGTATATGTAAATATACAAATATAATATATATAATTTACATATAATTTACATTCATTTATTTTTAAAGGGTTTATTCTTCACTTTAGATTTTAAATAAAATCCTTTGATAGTAGTTCATATAAAAATCTCATCAGTATTACATTAAGTCTAATCAAATTAATTTCTTCAAAACTTTTTTATTATCTATCTCTCATATTTATTAATTATATTAATGGAAGTATTTATTCTTTATAAAATTCTTTCACACACAATATTATTTAAATACTCTAATATATTAAACAAATATAATCTTATTTATTTAAATCAATTTACCAATATCACTGAATAGGCTTTTATTAAAAAATCAGATTTATTTCTATAGGATTTTGCTCATCTTAATAGAAGAATTAGTAATTCAAAATTTTTTATTGATTTAGAATCTCTTGTTTTAAACAATCCTATAAATAGACTTTTTAAAATAGAATTTAGATTAGGTTTACCCTCTATTTTTATTTAAATATTTAGCTATTTTCTGATTTAATATAGATTATAAAAAAGAATATATTACCCCCTAAAATCTGGTCTTGAATTTACCTTTTTTTAGTATAATTTCAATAAAATCTCTTATCTAAGATAGTTTATATATTATTATTATAATGTTTTAGTTAATAGAACTCACAAATGTAGTATAAACACGCAATTAAAATTATATTATATGGTATAACTCGATTAAGATTAATGCTATAGAAAGATGAAATTACTACTATTAGATTCCACTTGGTTAAATGAAACTAATGGTATAAATTTCATTAAAATTGAATTACTGGTTATTGAGATAATGGGGTATGTAGGATAAGTAAATTTGTAAAATAAGCAACTTTTAGCAAAGTTTACATATAAACTCTACACAAACTCAAATGTGAGTTATATTAGTATAGTTTAGAGTCTTATAATAATAGTAATTTTCTTACTTAATATCTAGGTTACTTTAATTTATAATATCAAATACATCTTATACTTTTCAAATTCAAGTATCTAAAATATTCAAAATTGATTTCTTATTGAACTAACCAAATAAACCTAAAGATTACCTTAAATATTCTCTAGTAAAACTCTTATATATTATCTACTTTATATATAATAACTTAAGTACTCATATATTACCTATTAATTAACCTGATAATATTATCATTAATATTATCTTATTTTTCTCACTTTATATATTTAAACTTATCTTTATATAATAATTTCTGTCAATTAATAAGAGTCAAATATTCTATACTGATACTTCTTTAGTTAATACATAATCTGAAAATTACAAAATAATATCAGTTGGATTTGTATTAATGAAATTCTCTATATTACCAGTTTAAAATCTTTATTAAAATCAGTCTTCTTCTATTAGAGCTGAATTATTCACTCTCATGATCATATTTCTTATTTTTTTCTAATCTGTAATAGTTTATATTTATGCTAATATAGTCAAAGTTGGATATAACGATGCTATTATATAATGATAATATCTTATAACGATAAAAAATATTTTGTCTAAAACAGTTATAATTAAATTAGCTTTATATATTGATTTTAATTAATAAATCTCTTTATTTTGTATTATGATAAATATTACAATATCACATATACTTTTAGTATCACAATATAACGATATTTACATATAATGATATAAAATCTATTTATAATGATATATAATATCACATGATTTATAATATTGTGTAAATTTTACAAAAAAAATTTTTTTAGTATAAAAAATACCATAAAATCATTATTTTATAATAAATATATATTCATTATGAAAGGTTTGTAAAAATTAATATCACTAAATAAAGAAAAAAATAATAATATTTATATATTTATATGTTACGTGATCGTGATCGTAATCACAATCACAAATATGAACATATATATTGTTTATATGCGATCACATGTTTAAATCATTTTTGAAATCAAAACAAAAAGAACGTATATACAAATAAATGAAAAACTATATAATAAAGTGGGGTTTGTAGGAGTGATATTTAGGGTATCATGGTAAAATATTAGTATTTTTTACGCATTTCATAAAATTCGAAGACACTTTTATCTTTAATAAAAGTTACTCAATTTTTATTCAATTGCTATGTTTAAATATTTGTTAGAAAGAAAATAAAATTGTGGATAATATAATATAATAATAATTTAAAATTAATAATTGATTCTTTTTTTTTTTTTTTAAGACATGATAAAGCATTTATTTATTAAAAATTTAAAATCAAATTACAAAGTAAAAAGAAAATCCCAGAAAGGATATAAAAGTAGAAAAAATAAAGTAAAAGCTACTTAGTCTTTCTTGAAGGAGTAAACTAATTCCAACCAAACCAACCAGTTGTCTCATTACATTTAACCTTAACTAATTAGAGAAGAAAGATCAATACATAATAAAAGAAATGAATATGCATTTGAGACACTAGTTTTCATTACGTTAAAAAGAAGCCAGGATCTATCATGAATAAAAGAGTTAGAAAATAGAGTTAGATGGTTCATATTATGATCATCTATTGGTGTAGTTTGTGATAAAGAGGTATTGGTACTATTATTTGATTTGCTATACTTTTTCTTGTTTGTTATATCTTGGGTAAGTTCTTTGATAATAGTTAAAGTATATCTGGATTTTCAAATTAGAAGGATAGCCTGATTAATAATAAGATTATAAAAAGAAGATAGAATAACTAAAGATTTTTTTTGGCACTTAGTGAAATCATTAATAAGTTGATAAAATAGGAAGGAATAATTCCTTTAATGAGATCAATGAAGATGAAAGATGAAAAAAAAGAAGGAGACAAGACCCAGTAAGAATGTGAAATATCAAATAAAGACTGTAATTCAGTTGACTATAGTCTACTAGAGATATAAATGAAAAGATGATCTTAAAGAGTTTGTATATCCTGTATAATAATGTAATTAATATAGGATGAGCTTTAAGGCAAGTCCAAATATGGTTGAAAGTTTTATTAGAGGAATTATAATGACAAGTAAAGTCATATAGATTAGGAGAATTAAGTTTGAGAAATTCTAAGGTAGGTAATTGTTCGAGTAGGAGTTGGTATCTTCATTTATGATAATAAGATTCTTTATAAGATATTTATTATTTGAGTTGTGGTTATATTTTTGTAATGATTATTTGAAGATTGTAAAAATTAGCAAAAGATTTGGAGTTAATAAAGTCTTTAAAAAAAGGTCTGATTTCTTTGTTGATAGATTTTGATAAAAAATTAGGAATGAAGGAAAAAAAGGAATATGATAGAAAGAGAGAGAAATAGGAAAGTTATGAAGAGCGGATTTGGCTAAGTTATCAACTTTTTCATTGTAAGGGTTACCAGAGTGTGCTTTAACTTTGATCAAAGTTAATATGATATTATTTTGTAATGTTCTATTGTAAGACAGAATCATTAATAAACTATTAGTATTAACTTTAACTGTAGAATCAAAGGGATAAATAAAAAGAGTCATAAGAAGAGTGAAGATTTCAGCATTAGTAGAGTTAGCCTACAGAGGAAGCAAAGCAGCAGTAAAACTAATATCTAAAGTAACATGAACTAAAATAAAAGAAAGTTTGTAAAGTAGACGGGAGAAATTGATGAAAACTATCAGTATAAAATTCTAATTCATTTTCATTAAATAAAAAACTCTATGATTATTAAGGGTAGTTATGCATTTGCTAGAAATAAATAAACTTTCTATGATTAAAATATTATGGTCTGAGTTAATATAGTTAGGTAAAATATTTGGAGTAGAAATGGAATGTATCATTCAGAATCTAGTAACAGCTTGATCTATTAAAGACCAAAGTAATCTTTTTGAAATATAAAGGTTTTTAGTATTGCTTTGAACCAAAGGGGAAATAGAAATTGGATTGGCAAGCAACAGATCAATGAAAGCAGTGCAAGGCAGTTTTCTAAACTTTGGTTTGATTTTGTGTTTTTTCTGATTCTTATTAAAAGAGCAATCAAAATATGATACTAAAACATTATTCCTTTAGATGAGAAACGAGGATCATTAGTTGGATTTGTTAAAATGAAATGTTAAAAAAGACAAGGTGGAGCTGGTGATTCCAATTTAAACATTTTTCCAAAAATAAATGATCCTGAAATAGGAAATTTATATATGTTGTATTCAGAAGGAGTCCAAATATTAGCCTATCTAGTATTCCATTTAAGATTCTCAATTGAAGTAGATGTTGAATATTTGTCGAATACTTGGATTTCAAAATAAAATTCCAGTTTGAAACGGTTAAAGTAGATTGGGTTGAATAGGACTATTTTTTGTAATAACTTGAACCAACGTGAGATAATACCATTTAAATTAGCTGAAGAGAAAGATCAAAGCTAAATATCATAATAATTGAGGAGAAATATGTCAGTAGCAACTACTTGGGATAGAAACAGAATATTGTTTGATCTAATATTAGATATATCATTATTGTTTCAAGGCATAATTATTTGGAGAGAAACTAAATCTCCTATGATTCGAAAGAGATTAATCATTTTTGAGGAATTAATAAAAGAGAAATTAGAGTTATGATAAGTAGTGATTAAGGTTACTAGATGAAATCCAGAGTTTAGACAGACAACTAATGGTAAAAGTAAAACTTGGTTAAATTATATTAAAATTTTATTAACAAATCTGCGAAATTCAAAAAAGGTAAAACTATATTAAAGCTTATAAAAATAGCGAAACTATATCAAACATTTAGTAAAAATTTAGTGAAATTAAAGGTTTAAATATTTAGCCAAATCCAAAATGAGTTTAGACAAGCAACCTTAGTGATGATGAAGTTTGAGAGAAAATTCATGTGTCTATAATGCTTAAGGAACTTAGGCTAGCAGACCATATAACCAAAATCTTTGCTGTAGTTGTTTGAGCCTAATAAGCATAGATAATTCTAAAATCATAGTATCAGGAGAGTTAACATTGTTAATGAATTGTTGGATTTTTGAAGGTTATGAGATAGATGATAAGTTATTAAAACCATAGCTAGCTTATTATGAATAATTGAATTTGGTATGCCTCCTCTAAGTCCTAGTTTATTTTTGATAAGTTTTCTCATAGGTTTATATAAAAGATCACATTTGAGTTCAGAGAGAATTGTAAGTTTAGAGCTATATTACAAATGAGATATAAGGATCATATTATTCAAATATCATAGTTATTTATCTGATAGAAATTTAAATTTGAGTTTATTCTTAAAAAAGGTAATTTCAGCAGAAATTTGGTTTTTAATGAAGTTTTTTTTGTGCTGAGCTAATATCTAAATACCTAAATATCTAGTTGAATCTTTAGGTGATATAGTTTGACATTCAAATGAGGTATTATTAGTAGAATATCTAAATATGATAGATTCAGTATTAGTATGATCAATAATAAGGTAGGATTTATCAAAGTTGACTTTCATAGAGTTTAAGTCGTAGAAAGTTTGGGCGATATTTAGAATACTAGACATTTAATTATAACTGTTAGCAATCCATATAGTGTCATCCATAAAGACCAGGACAGAAATAGTGATATTAAGGGATTTTGTTAATTCCAATTAATGTTCATATTGAAACCAAGTTCAATTTTTTAATGCGATTAAATAAAGGATCATAATAAATGATTCATAATAGAAGTGAGATGACTTCTTCTTAGTTAATATCAACAAGAGTGTTATAAGAATCAGTAAGGCTAAAGTCAGTAAAGATCTCATTGGTCTGATTGAGGAAAAGTTCTATTATTAAATTGATTAAGGTGTTGGGAAATTTTAAATGAACCAAGGCTTTTTTAACATGAAAATATTGACTTGATCGTAAGGCTTTAACATATCTTAAAATAGAATGTATAAATCATTTTTGTAAGAAGGATCAGTTTTTTTTTTAAACGGTAATATTTTAAAAGATTATTGATTATATGAAGAGATTCTAAAGTAGATTGATGTGGGAGACCTGCAAAATTTAAACCTGATAGAGTATTAGTATTAATTAGAACCTTTTGCAATCTAGCGTTTAGAATTTTTGTAAATGCTTGTCAAATAGTTTCCAGAAGAGTAATTGGTCTGATGTTATTTAGATCATAGTTTTATAGCTAAGATTGCTGGACGAAATCAAGAGTTTAGACAGACGTCTAAATGGTAAAAGTAAAACTTGGTTAAATTATATTAAAACCTTATTAAAAAATCTGCGAAATTTGGAAAAAGGTAAAACTATATCAAAGCTTATAAAAATGGTGAAATTATATCAAACACTTAGTAAAAATTTAGCGAAACTAAAGGTTTTACCATTTTGCCAAATCCAAAATAAGTTTAGATAAGCAACCTTATTCATAGTTTTGGTTTTGGTATAGAATACACATGTGCTAAATTCCATTAAGACTGAATAAGAAACAAGTGCAAATAATTTTATATAAGAGTTTATTAGCGAGTGGACCTATTTTTTTTTAATATTTCATTAGAAATGTTAGAAGACCCAGGAGCTTTGTCATTTGGAAGATGTTTTAAAATGAGGAGCCATTCATCGTAAGTGAAAACGTTGATATATATTCATATACATTTATACTTGAGAAAGGTTAATAAAAAGTTTTCATTATGACCAGGAATTTGAAAAATGAGATGCTGTTAGATCTGTTACATTAAAATTTTGAGCATCAGCAACATTCTAAAGTATGGAGCAATGGTTTTTTTAATTTGTGATGGATCTTGTTCTAAATATAGATCAACATTTGGTTTGTTGATTAAAACTCTGTCAAGGATAATAGTTTTTCTGGATCTTTTGAGGTAGGAATTTATTATTTTTGAAGGAGCATCTTTATAATTGTCAATTTATTGTGATATATAGGCTTTAATGCAGTCATTATTCTCTTGTTTGAAAACAATTTTCAGTTTACATTCTAAAGGTTTAATAATAGAAGCTTTTAAATTTATAAAATATACAGTATATTAAGATCTTTTTAATAGAAAAGGGAGTCTAGCAAAGCTAATAAGATTTTATGTTCATTAGCAATAGTAAGAACATTATAATGCTTATCATTGGTAATTCTGAATGAAAAGGTTGAAAAATTAGGATTAGCTACTTCTTTGTCCATAAAAACTTTAATTCTATGATAAAGTTTATAAAGTTTTTTGTTTTCTTGTGAATATTAGAGTTATCAAAACTAAAAAGAGACTTATGGACTTATGATGTAATATTGTAGTAGTTTTGGGAATATACTTGTTAGCAGCACATAGAACTGATTGAATAAAGAATTTCCATGCTTGATTAAGAGTGATTGAGAGGAACCTAAATGTTAACTATCACAGTTATAAAACTTTTTTGATTCTTTGATTAACTTATTCAGTTTATCAGAAAATAGATCCCAATGTAAAATTGCAGTTTTTTCAAAATTAAAGAATTTACATGTAATTTTGTGTTGTTTGCAATATGCATTAGAAGAATTGTTAAAATATTATTTTTGTAAATGGTAATGTGTAGAGGAAGATGGTCAGGTTTATAAACAGTGCTAGAGGAATCAAAGATTTTAAAAGAAGTAAGATCATGAGAAAGAGAAGAAGATATGAAAATGTAATCAATAAGGGTGTGTTTTTTTTAAAAAGATAAATGTATGAAAAAGTTTTTTCAAATTGTCAGAGAGTAATAAAGCAGTATGAATAAAATTCAAACTATATAATTTGTCAATGAAGGATCTAAATGTTTAATTTCTTTTTAAGTTATTATGTTTATTTTGTATCTTATAAAAATCAATATTGAAATCACCCATCAATATTATATAATAGGTTTTGAATTGTACTTCAAGAATGATTTTAATTACTAACATTTTAATTTTGATCTGAAGGCTAATTGGTCTTGATCAATAGTATTAGCAGAAAGGTAAATTTGAATAATCCTTAATTTGGTTTTGTTTTTAAATTGTAGATCAATATAACATCAGGAAATTAAGTAAACTTTGTATATTGCAATATATATTACTTTTTAATATGTATCATAATATTTATTAGTAATATATATTATTAATTTATAATTTACATTATTTAATGCTATTTATTACTAAATTATCAATATATATTATGTATAATATTTAATAATGTTTATTACTTTAAATTTTAATATGTATTAAAATTTAAAACATAAAAATATTCACTAAAATTCATTATTTTTTTTAAATCGTGATACTATATGTACTGGTTCTATAATTGAATCTACTGGTATAAATTCATATTGAGAAGTAAGTTTTATCCATTGACAATCATATAAAGTTAAATACCTTTTGAATTTATAATCATACCATTGTATAAGTGTTAAATAAAATGCTTCATTAAATGACGTTATCTTTACTGAACATAACATTAAAACCTATTTAAAGATTGATTAAAAATTGTAATTATAAAAAATTAAAGTTTAAATATAAAAATTCTTACTTTTCTAAAGAATATTCCTTCATATGTAATATAATTGTCTATTTCATTATTATCTATATTAATTAAGATATTATCAAAAACTGATTGGTGATACTAATCAGAATTTGCTCGAATTATATCACAATTAAATATTACTGCAGAATTATACCATTTAATAAATATAATTGAGCTATCAATATCACATTCTATTAAATCTTTCCAGATCTCAAAAAAATTATTTAAGGCTGGTAAAAGTTGATTAAAGGCTTTCGATGTTCTAATGATAAAGATATTATATCTTGATAAAATGAAACAAATTTATCAAATAATGCCAATTTAAAAGTAACAATCTCTTCGATCATCATGGATTTAGAATGTTTAATATTAGATGCAATTGATTTTGAAAACTAAAGTAAATAATTAATTATATTCTGTCTTCATACCTAAATTCAAAATAACTATTCTAATCAGTATTATAGTTAATATAATAAAAATCATTGAATTAAATCACTTACAGTATATATGGTACAAGTAAACTATACTTAACAATAAGATTGTTATATTTAAAAAATTTTCAAGAATCTTAAAAAATAAATTTTGAAGAAAATAAATTGGTAACTTTATTCTTTAAGATATGTACTATTAAATTACCGGTTAAATTTTTTTAAAAAAACCTATATAAAAAATTATAAGCATTTAAATTCGATTAATTTTTATATAATTAGCCTATATTTGAAACAAATCAAATCACATGAAAGTAATATTATTGGTCAAAATTTTTATAATTCTGGCTAAGATTATGATAATTTAATGCCAGCCTGAATTAGTACATTCATCTGACCATAAGAAAACTCTTTTTAATTATAACAAAATCTTCATATGTTAATGATGAAATCTTTCCTGATACTACGTAAAATGAAACGCCAACAATAAATTAGTAAGATACCTAGGAAAAAGGGATGTTATGTATCTTAAAGTCAACCTAAAACTATTACAGAAGAGATAGAAACTTTTGAAAATGAAAAACAGTTAGAAAATGAAATTATTGAAGAATGGCCAGAAGATGAAACTATCAATTGGACAGAAAAAGAATTAAAAGAATTTGATAAAATAGAGAAGAGGCTTATCTTTAAAGTTCTTTGTTGGCATGAGGGTGCTGCCTGTAGTATCAGAACAGTATATACTGAAAATTAGGGTTCCTCAAAATCGAATCGAATCAAATATTTAAGCAATTTGAATTTGATTTGATTTTTTCAAATCGAATC